GATTCAGCAAGGAGTCTGCTGTTGTGTGTGTGTGTGTCTGTGTGTGTGTGTGTGTGTGTGTGTGTGTGGTGGGGGAACAGACAGGCTACACCATCCCAGCTGGAAACCAGACTTCCTGACTTCTGCCTGTGCTCTGTGTGCTGGGGGTAGCGTTTTACCCAGGATAGCTCACTGACTTAAAAGAAAAAAAAGTTTAAAATGAGGAAACAAAAATACACATATAGTAAAATGCAAAAATGTTTCTGTACAATTTAATGAATACATGAAAAGAACATCTGTGTAACCACCACCCAACAAAAGCCACACCCACTGCTATCGAGTTAATTCCAGCTCATAGTGACCCTGTGGGACAGAGTAGAACTGCCCATTAGAGGTTCTGAAATATACTTCTTTACAGAAACACACAGCCTCATCTTCTCCCGTAGGAGCAGCTGGTGCGTTTAAACTGCCAATACTGAGGTTAGCAGTTCAACGCTTAATCCACGACACCATCAGACTCCTATAACTACCACCCAGTGAAAAGAACCTTGTTAGCATCCTAGAATCCACCCGTGTGTCCCTCCTGATCACAATCCCCTTTCTCCCTACCAGAGAATCCCATTAAAGTATGCTTTCACATCTGGCTTCTTTCTCTCAGCATTGTTGGTGAGATCTACCCATCAGATGGTTGCATTGCATCTTGTTTAATCTTTACAATAGCTAGGGAAGTGTTAGCAGCCCCATCTTACAGATGAGAAAACTGGGGTCTAGGGAAATTTAATGACTTATCCATGGCCACGCAGCTCCTGAAGTGGTGGCACCGGAATTCTAACTTCAGCCTGTCTGGTCCCAGAGCCTTAGGTCAGAACCCTGGGATGTATTGTTCCTCGACCACAGGAAAGCATGAGGAGGAGGTTGCAATGGTCCAGGCAAGAGATGTTGAGGACTGGGACCAGAGCAGCGTCAGGCAGAATCAATTAGAGAAATGTTAAAGAACGGCCCACAGGACACAAGACAGACTAGATGTGGGCCGTGAGAGAGATGGATGGGTTGAATGGGGCATCCAGATCTCCAACTTGGATCTCTGAGTGGACAGTAGACTCAAGAGAAGTAGTCAGAGGGAGGGAAAACTTCAATCTGACATACACTGATTCTGAAGGATCGTGGGGCATCCAAGTGCAAAATCCAGTTGTCAGCTTGATTAAACAAGTCTAGATCTGTAAGTCTACAGCTGGAGATCTGGGTTACTGACACGAAGGGAGGGAGGGCTGGGGACAGGAAGGGAAAAGGGAAGCTTCTGAGAGAGCAGACCAACTGATCACTCCCTCCATGAGCACTCACTGCACTTGGCCAACCCTGGTCATAGCAGGTGGTCAATAAATACACCCCAAATGAGCCAATCTCTACAGTACAGCATTTTACACTATTCAAAAAGAACATGTTTATGTGTATTGCTTCTCTTTGAAACTCTGAACTCCTTGAGGGTAGAGATCTGTTTTTGATTCATTTCATGAAACAGTCCCGTAGCTATTGTTTAAAAATATGTGTGTTATAGGAAAAGAAGAGAGGAAGAAAGGGGCGGCCTGATCTCAGGGATGTTAGGTAAACCGTCTGAAAGACAAATCAGTGAGGAAGAGATAAATGATGATCTATTTTGAGATGTTTGAGAGTTAACTTTGGAATTCATTAGGGTTCTCCATATTTGCACGTGGATCACCAGTTTATACCAAAATAGACCTATCTGATTGTCTCACCTGCAAGCAAGCTAGTCATTTAAAATCCCACATGCAAATCAAAGTAAAAGAGAATAATTCCTCCCTCTTGGTACTGAGAGAAGAGCTGAAGCGAGGTCTGCTGTCACAATCATCTGAGCATTATTTGAACTTATAATCAATGTAAGCATCATAACTCTAAAATGTAACTACCTTTAAGAGTTTTCAGTCTCTGATTTCCTCCCTTTCATTTCTGCTTACTAGACCGGGACAGCTGCCTGAGGTGCTGGGATGCAGAGATGAATGACATTCATTCCTGTCCTAAAGGAGCCTGGCCTAGTGGGAGGGTCATTCACTAAACAGATAACAACTGTTATAATTGATGCCACTTACGGAGCCAAACACTTTGCACCATCTCACTGAGCCCTCCCAACAGTCATACGTGGTAGGTCATGCCCTTCCTTACTTTGTTGTTGTTAAGTGCTGTCGAGTTGGTTCTCACTCATAACAACTCTGTACAGGGTTTCTGAGGAGCAGTTGGTGGATTTGAACCACCAATCTGTGGTTAGCAGTCCAATGCTTATTCTACAGTGCCACAGCAGGAGTCTCTGCTTTACAAAGACCCAGGAAGCCAGAAGTGGTAAGGCCAGCACACAGGCCTCCAGACTGGTGCTGTAACCCAACTTTGAGCTTTTTGGAATGGAGCTGATGCCAGGCACTGGGCTGGCAAAGAGCAGAGGCCTAACTCCCTACATGGTCATAGGATTTTATGGGTATCCTAGAGCCTCCCAATCACACTAATTTCATTTATGCATTCATTCATAAAGGACTAGGATTAAAGTGTGGGAAAGCAGAGGAGCAAGCCACTAAGTCAGCTAGAAGGATCAAAAGTCCTGTTTCCTTGTTCCCAATCACCCCCATCCCCCACCTCCAGGAGTCCTTTAAGATCTTTTCTGCTTTTGTCCTGCTTCTCACCCCCAAGCTTCTACACCAGCGCTTGGAGTAGTCCCATAGATGTGCTTCCAGTCTCTCCCAACATCATCACACTGGTTACCAGCTCTGTTCATACCAGTCCCCTGCTCAAAAACCTTTAACAGCCTCCCAATGCCTACTAGATAGAATGCCTGGTTGCCCAAAGCTCTTTATGATCAGACCTTGCCCAGATTCACCTATCACTTCTTACAGTTTTAAAAGGGCAGTCCTTTTATGTAAAGTAAATCTTTCTTCTATAAAGGAAAGGGTTTGGTTTCAGGGAACCTGGTCTTACCACTTAGGAGTTCTATGACTTGCCAGGTTGGGACCCCATGAGAGCCAAGATGGAGTCTTATTTCTTTCTGTATTCTACTACTAAGCACAGGCCTGGCAGTGACTAGTGAGTGCTCATTCAGTTTATGTATGTGGACTGGGAGCCTGGCACAGTGTGAGACACTGAGGCACAGCAAGGGAACAGGACATGCTTCCTGACTGCACAGAGCTGACAGCCTAGCAGTGTGGTACAGTGACTATCCATTTTATTGTGTACATGGACCAGACATGTGTTGTTGGTGGTGCTGTTAGGCATCTTTTACGTGTTATTAGGACTTCAATATATCTTTCTGGAAGACACAATTCAATCCACAATGTTGTTGTTTTTGGTGCCATTGAGTCGGTTCTGATTTATGCAAACAGAATGAAACACTACCTGGTCCTATGCCATTCTCACAATTGTTACACTCGAGTCCACTGAACCAATCCATCTCATTGGGGTCTCCCTCTTTTTTGCTGACCCTCCACTTTACCAAGCATGCTGTCCTCCAGGGACTGGTCCCTCCTGACATGTCCAAAGTATAAGATACAAAGTCTCGCCATCCTGGCTTATAACGAGCATTCTGGCTGTACTTCTTCCAACACAGATTTTTTCTTCTGGCAGTCCATGGTACTTTAAAATTTTTCTCCAATGCCATAACTCAAATCCATCAATTCTTCTACGGTCTTCCTTATTCACTGTCCAACTTTCACATGAGGCTACTAAAAATACCAGGGCTTGGGTCAGACATACTTTAGTCCTCAAACTGACATCTTTGCTCCTGAACACTTTGAAGAGATTTTGTGCAGATTTGCCTAGTGCAATATGTTGTTCGATTTCTTGACTGTTGCTTCCATGAGTGTTGATCATGGATCCAAGCAAAATGAAGTCTTTGACAACTTCGATCTTGTTTCCATTTATCATGATGTTATTTATTGTTTCAGTGGTGAAACAATTTTACAACAATATAAACAATTTTCTTTATATTGCAGTGCAACCCATACTGAAGGCTGTGGTCTTTGATCTTCAGAAGTATTTTAAGTCCTCTTCGATTTCAGCAAGAAAAGTTTATCATATGAACATCACAGGTTGTTAATGAGGTTCCCTACAATCCTGATACCGTGTTTTTCTTCATATAATCTAGCTTCTTGGATTATTTGCTCAGCATATGTATTGAATTAAATATAGTGAAAAAATACAATCCTGGTACACACCTGATTTTAAACCATTCAGTGTCCCCTTGTACTATTCCAACAACTTCCTCTTGATATACGTATAGGTTCCTCATGAGCACAATTAAGTGTTAAGAAATATCCATTCTTTGCAATACTGTCTATAGCTTGTACTGATCCACACAATCAAAAGCTTTTGCATAGCCAATAAACCACAGATAAACATCTTTCTGGTATTTTCCGCTTTTAGCCAAGATCAAGCTGATGGCAGCAATGATATCCCTTTTTCCACATTCTTGTCTGAATTTGGCTTAAATCTCTGGCAGTTAAATGTCAATGAATTATGGTAGCTGCTTTTAAATTATCTT